TATATTGGATCATTATCAAAATGTATTCTACCAGGTGCCCTCAGTCATCAGAATATCTCACTGGCAACTAGAAAAGAAGGTCTTGATGATGAATCCCTGCATTTGGACTTCCTTCTATTTTCCAGTGATGCTTGCCTGGCAGCCATTTCCTTATCCTGCCACCGGACAAAGATATTTTATTCTGTTTTTCTAGTTACCTGCTCTAAGCTACATTTTTGGTTATATATATTACAGTTTTTAACTTCTGTTTTTCCATATCACGTGTTTATCACATGTACCCTAAAGCAAAGGCATTTGGCTAGCATTTGTAGTTGTAAACGAAAAGGAACTGTGTTAGTGTAGAATGCACTTTCACCAATCTGAAATAAAACGTGTAGTGCCATCAGTTGGATGGTAAAGAGATACAGTTGTCATCTTTCTCTTTTAATGAAAGAATAAATATAATTTCCATTTATGTGGACAATCGTGTTTTTCAAACTTGGCAACTTTTAAAATTTGTAGACTTCAGTGCCCAGAATTCCCCAGCCAGCATGCTACATTATTTGTGATAGGCTTGGTGATTGTACAGGTGCTTCCTCACAAGATTTTTTATTACACAAATACTCTACCTTTTTCACAGAATTAACAGCAGTTCAGGCAAAGTTGTTTTCCATTTGTAACCCTCCCAGTTTTCCTCCTGTTTCTCTCATCAGTTTTCTTTTCAGAAAAATCAATTAAAAGAATAATAAAATAAAATAAAATACCTACACAAATATTTGTATTGATACGAGCTATCCTACTGAAAACAAAAAAGTAATATTTATGTTTTCTTACCATGCAAAATGAGGGTTATTTTAAATAATTATAAAATTGGAGCCTTCTACTGAACTACTGTGAGGTAAAACAATTTCAGTGCTATTCTGAGGAAACATGCACACATGGACTGCATGTCCATTTGTGCATGTGCCTTGTCAGCAGGAAATGCTGCCTGTGTTATGGATACAACTGAATTTTAAAAGGAACGTGGAAGAAAAGAAAGTGAAAGAAATTAAACATAAAAGCAGAATGATAACAGGAAGAGAAACTATGACTCTTGTTTAAAAACATGTTAGAACAGGGGTGTCAAACTCAATTTCATTGAGGGCCGCATCAGCATTGCGGTTGCCCTCAGGGGGCCGGGTGGGTGTGGCCAGGGTGGGTGCAGCCTACTGAGTGGGCATGGATGGAGTGTGTGTGGTCTACTGGGTGGGTGTGGCCAGCTCTACATTGTTCGTGTCAATGGTGCCTGTGGGTGCCTGGGCAGGAGTGGGATAGATCTGAGGGTCTCTGGCAGAAGGGGGTGGGACCAGGGTAAGTGCCAAGGCATGGTCCATTGGAGGAGCCTCACTGTTCCTCTCAGGCCATGCAGGGGAGGGCTTATGGAGCTAAGACTGAATGTATTTCAGTATAGATGGCCACCACAAAATTGTACATTGGCTCCCAGCTGGCTTGGGCCAGGGCCAAGGCAGCGGGGGCCATTCCCTCACTGTCTCCAAGGCAGCGGGGGCCGTTCACTCACTGTTTCCACTGTTTCACGGGCCACATCCGGCCCCCGGGCCTTGTGTTTGATAGGTCTGTGTTAGAAGATTACCCAAAAGAATGAATGGAAATTGATATAAGGAAAGATTATATGGAAGCTGTTTTGAAAGAGTGAAAAAATGTTAGACGCTGGCATAGTAAGGAAATTTAAATAGTAAAAGGCAAAGAATGAATTGATGTTTGGACATGGTGGAAAAATGGGTGCTTTATAAGAATAGAAAGGTATACAATTTAGCTGAAATGAATAAATTGACTTCTTTGGGGAAAAGTCATTTACATTTATTGGTGACTGGTAGCCAATTATGGACTTTCTGCATAAAATCAGAAAAATGATTTTGGGATTTAGGTTTTTGATGATTAGGGTAGATTATAGAAGGAATACTGTTTAATGTAACCTTAAGAGAAAGAGGTCTAAGTATGTTTGTACTTATATCTGCTATGATGACCATCAGAATCTTTTTCGTTCTTTTCTAATTTTAACTGTTTTAGTTTATGGCACTTTTTGCTTTCTCTTCATTTTTTTCCTTCATACTTTATATTAGTTTGTATCAGTCTTCATCTTTTTTTATTTAAACATTTTAATAAAAAATATATTAAAAAGAGGAAGATATAGAGAAATTTAGCAATTGGTTGTTATGTATGTTATTTTTTTCCTTTTATTGTATCTCCCTTTATTATTTTATTTTAATCTGCTACTTTATACTTTATGCTTTTCTGTGCTTTGCATAATGTTGCTTCCACTGACTTTACTTTCTTCTAGGTATTGAAATTATTTTTATTAGAACATAGAATAAGAAGGGCTACATTCATAAGCAGAGCAGAAGAATGTGGTTCCTTTGAAAAAAGACAGAAGTCAGCAATATCTCTACCTACTCCTGCCTCTGCACGGCTTATCATGCTTGCTTCCAGTATCTGAAAGTGTCACTACTACTCTACATTTATTTTTCACATTTCTATCCCCACTGCAACCCAGAGATTTTCAGCTGCTTCTGCAGATTATAAAACCCAAGTAAACTTTTATGGTGTAATATCCACAGAAACAGTAAAACCATACTATCCAAATATAAAACTACGAGCAATAAAAACAGAAAGTAAAGATGGCATGATCAGTTCAGGAGAGGACCAGCTCTGTCTTTTAAAGCTTCTGAAACATCAACAAGGACCGAGCTGCTCTGAATATAACCAGGAGGCTGTTCCATAGAGTCAACATGCCATGGAAAAGTAGCAACTTTTCATTGCAATCCCCCAGACCTCCCCAAAATGCAAGAACAATAACAGTGTCCCTCTCTTTGATCTAATTGTTCAGATAGTACTGGTTGGAGAAGGTGATACTGCAAATATCCAGGCACTGAGTCTTAAAGGAATTTATAAGTTAAAACCAGCACTTTAAATTGTACCTGGAAATCAATTAGCAACTAATGCAGAGTCCGCAAAACCAATATTATATGCTCTTAACAATGCCAGAAAGCATGTGGGGCCATTTTGGACCAAGTGTAATTTCTAACCAGGATGGAGCCAAATATAACATTACAGCAGCTCAGTTAGGTAATAATAAGAGCATAAACTACCGTATGCCTACAGTAGTTTATGCTCTTATTATTACCTATCTGAGCTGCTGTAATGTTATATTTGGCTCCATCCTGATTAGAAATTACACTTGGTCCAACCCTCGGGTAGGGTTGTAACTGATGCACCACCAAAAATGGGCATGGTCCCCTCTGGCCATAGTTTCTACCTGCTGTTCTAGCAGGGGCTGGGAGACCAGAAGGAGCTCCAAGTTGTGAATCTGCTCCCTGATAGGTATTACTTGCCAGTCAAGGAACAATTCTTGGGGTAACAGAGAACCGTGAAGTATCAGCAGCAAAATAATCTTTCTCAGCTGTTCTGTGTGTGTTTTATTATGGTTCATGGCAGAGTCAGCCAGATATTTAGATTCTATTGAGCCCTTCCCAAGGACCAGGGATAGGCAGATTTTGTTTGATGGTATTAAAGGTATGTTCAGGATGTAAGTTGTTCCAAGTAAAGCTGCCTTTTGCAATTGGCTGATTGTGATTTTGTCAATGATGATGGTATTTAGTGGTATTCCTGATGTTTAACACCTGAGGTGCTTGATACTATTATTTTTGCTTTCTTTTGCCACAGTCATTCTATTTGCAGGTTTTTGTATTCTATGAGTTTCTCCAGTTCTATCTCTTTTATTCTGCTGACTCTAGATCCTCCCAGGATATAAGCTATTCCAAGTAAAGCTGCCTTTTGCAATTGATTGATGGTTCTTTTTTTATTTCAATATCCTTTTCCTTGATCCTGCTTTTATATGGTATGGTCAATGCAATCCTATTATATTCCTACTTGGCATAATTATCAGAATACAAGCGGCTTTCGAGGCTTTAAAATCTCTTCATTTCCTGTCTTAAAATGTCTTGTTAACAACTGGAGCCACAACAGTCCCTGGTGGCACAAAGAAAAAAAATAATGTTCTAACAAAAGGCTGTTATATAATACTTTGCCTAAAACAAAGCAAATAATTTCAAGATGTGGGCAGGGGGATGGGGGAAATCTACTATTTTACAGAATATTTATTTTCTGTGATTAAGAGGAAACAAATGATAAGTATATGGAAAAAGCCAAGGAGCTGCCAGCCAGATGTCTTCAGGAGGCCTATAAGCTAAGCATATTCTTGTTTTAGACTTTTGGCACCTGGCATTCAATAGTACTAGAACAGTGGTTCTCAACCTTTTTAATGCCGCGACCCCCAACTGGTCATAAGTCGAGGACTACCCAACCGGTCGTAAGTCGAGGACTTTCCCTGCCTGGGAGCGCCGCGCATGTGTGGTGCCACCCCCTGCGCCGGCCAAGGCGTAGCTGGCAAGCGGTAGAGACGGTGCAGGGTGACCACCGGCTGGGCCACCAGCTGGCCCAGCCCAAGGGAGGTAAGGCACCCGCCGGGCCCCACGCGCTCCAGCAACCCTCCCTGCGCCCGCCGGACTCCCACCTCCCAACCCTGGCCCTCTTTTACTTGCATTTTTAGTAGTTGCTCAGCAGGGAGGGGTGGAAACTTCCAGACAGCTCACCTTCGCTGCAGACAACTTGCAGCACCGTTTGCAGAATGGGACTTTTGGCGGGCTCAGCAGGGCAGAGACAGCCTGGACAATTCCTATTGGCTTTTGAAAGCCAATAGAATTAGACTCTATTCAAGAGAGTCTATTCTATTGGCTTTCAAAAGCCAACAGAATAAAAGGGAGTAGCACAACTAAGGAAAAGGGGGGAAAAATGGCGGACTGCGTTGTTTAGCGACCCCTGTGAAATGGTCGTTCGACCCCAAATGGGGTCCCGACCCACAGGTTGAGAACCACTGTACTAGAACAAGTTTTTTTTCCATGATCTAGTTAAATTCTACAAAGTAAAATTTGATTCTAATATTTTTTTTCATATATCTTTTGTAGGTAAATATGTTTATCAGCCTATGACTCCAGTAGAACAGCTTCCAAGCACTGAAATACCTGTTCGGCCTCGAGGAACCATAAATACTATTCAGATAGCTGTCTCTCTCACAGAACACTTTTTGAAGTTTGCACCTGTCTTCCAAGCACCATTACCACCAGACTCCCCACGGTTTTGCACAATTTCAGACCTATTTATTGACAATTACCGTGTGAAATGCATCAATGGGAAGATGTGTTATGTGCAGAGGCAACCTCCTGCTCTTTCCTATAAAATGAAGCCCCAGGAGGTCCCCACACGCAACGCCTTAATTTTGAGAGAGAATAATACACCAAAAATAGATCATTGCTCATCCCCTTCCAGTTCTGAGGATTCTGGGATCAATGCTGTTGGGGCTCATTACGTAGAGTCATGTGATGAAGACACAGAAGAAGGAGCAGAGCTAAGTTCAGAAGAGGATTATAGTCCAGACAGTAGCTGGGAGCCAGATGAGTGTCCCCTTCTATCACCCTCACAGTGTGAACTAGAAGTAATTGAAACCATAGAAACCACAGTGTGAAAGTCTGAGCTGGGAGCTAGCTAGGCATATTAAAATAACACTGGTTTTATAGCATTTATACTGGCATTTTTGACAGGTCCTTTTTTTCAGTGTACTTGATATCCCTCAAGGAACACAGTGACAATATTTAGCCATCTGTGAATTAATTCCTTGATACTCATTCTACCAATGAATTTCCAGGAGCTCTCCTGTATAGCTGAAAAGATACCAGAATGTACATCTTTAGTTACAGACTAACCCTCATCATGATAAAGATCAGCTAAATTGCAATGGTCAGGTTATTGTAAGCAAGTGATTTTCAGACTTTGGTCCCTAGTTACTTTAGCACAAAACTTGGATCCCAATATGATACAAACACAACACTTTTCCCCAAGAAGGACATTTGTATGTTTACCGGCATTCTGTTATTATCAATCAGTCCAATTTTATTATGGTCATAGACTGTATAACTGTTACTATATTATGTATGGCATTATGTATGGTAGTCTAGGTATCAGTGGCTTACACCATGTCCTACAATCTTTTCAGGTAACCTGTGGTATAACATACTACTGATTAAGAACCCTCTTTGAAAGTCATTATCTACTCTGAAATAAGCAATTGGCTGAGGATTTCTCATTTGGAATAAGGATTTAGCCTTTTGTGCATTTGCTGAATATCAATAGGAGGTTAGCCATACCTTTGATGAGCAGAGTTAAATCCGTAAGCAAATATTCTTTATGTGTATTATTTTATGTAGGAGACAAGAAGCCATGGCTCTCCTCACTCGCTCAGATGTTAGGTACATCTTTTTAAATGACTTGCATACACTAACCTTTTTTTGCCAGCTACAGAGTAACTCAGGAGATTGCTAGCATAAGCACAATACTCAGCCAATATAACTGAAACTGTTTCTACAATAAGAACATGTCAGAGAGGCTTGAATTAAAATCCTTCAAGGGATACATTATTACACTGCCAACTGACCATTATATATCATTCCACTGATATATAATTTGACCCTAAATATTTAAATTACTTTCTATATTAAAACAGAGAACAGCTGGATTTTGTTATAGAAACAAAGCATATACGAAAGAGCTACTCATCTGAAATAGGTATATTGTGACTGCAATTTCAGTGTATATTCTCATAATGAAAGTTAGGATTATTTTTCAGATCAGCCAAAAATATAGCCTGGCTTGGTATTTACCCATCATAAAACAACAAAACGAAATAGGAAAAGAAAAAGAAAAAAAGATTAAGCTTTTTGCTCCCAGCAAAGGGCAAGCATAAACTTGTGGTGTTTAGGAAAATCAGGAAAACTAATCAGGATATGTAACAGTATCTGTTTTAAAGAGATTAACACAGCCTTTTTTGTTATGGATATATTTAATCAATGCACTTCCAAACTGAAGAATTGTAAATGGTATATTAACTGATTTAAGAAAGTATTTCAGTATGGAACTAGGGCAATAGAATTTAATAGTTCCATTTATTAATCTGTACATTTGGTGACTCGGTATTTACATTTAGTACTGGGTCTATTCTACTTATCTATTTAAATTATCCATTTGTGCGCAGTAGGTTTGACTGTAGCTAGATGAAAAAGGTGTCATGATAGTTTTAGCCTCTAACATACAATATTTTGATTTAAAGAAACAATCTGGAAAAAAAACAGTGGATTATTTTCTTCTAGCTTTGCTTAATCATTGTTTATGTTATTCAATATAAAACAGTGAAAGTGTATAGCGGAAAGAGATCTTTATGCCCCTGATGTATTCGTGCCTCCATTTTAAGTTTACACAATATGGTTATCCTGCCAGAAGAGGCGCCCTGCTAATCAGTTTAAAGATTATGGCCCTTTGAACTGTAAATGTGCATTTTTTTCCTCTATGTTTTAAAATAAGAATTTCAAATACTTAAATAGTCATATACCAGTGAATGAAAATGTTTTACCTCCTAACCTTTTTGCGTTCACCCATATGATACATAACTAGTTTTTTTCCCTGTAACATTAGGGCATCTGTTAATAAATATAGCCCTGTTTAATAATGGTTCAGTTAATTCACTTTCCATTAAGTTTATCTAAGAATGGTAACATATAAATATGTACAGTTGTAGCTCTCAGTATTAGATTATCTTATGCTGTGTTGTTGAATGCTGCTCCTTATATACAGTCTTGACACATAACTAATAACTAATTTTTATACATACACTCAGACATAGGCACTTTTAGAAAATATTTAGACTGCAGTGTATTATGAATGACTATAAAATTAATATGTACTTTAAAATATAAAATATTACCTTAAGAAGTAAAACAAACTATTTATTATGATGATACTAAAATGTATTTCTTGCCCCCACTCCCCCAAAAAGAAAGAAAAAACAGTTTTAGCTATTATAACAGGTAAATCCTTTCTTAGTAGTTCTGAAAAATTACAGAATTCGTCTAATTTTTAAAGAGAACACTGTTTCCTTATAGAAGTGTTATCTTGGGATTCTTAAAGATTTTCTCAGGTGATGTTAAGAATTCTTATGAATTTTATAGAAGAAATTGCATAAAATACGATTACATACTCAAATTATTTGGAACTCGAGATTTAAAATACAGCTTGTCTGGTTGTGTTAGTTTGTGGCTAACTGTCTAATGTTTTTTTTTTTTTTTAAAAAAGCAAGAACTGGGAATTTTGGCAATCCCAGAGAGGACTAAAGAGGAATTGGAAATTACATTTGAGAGCAGAAATGGAGCAGGTTTTGAGGGAACACTTTAGTTATGTTTATTATACTGAAGAATTGTGATATTGCCACTGTTTTGTAGGGTAGAAGGCAAAATGATTTAAACAGGCTAAGATTAGATGAATGTATTCTGAACTGAGAAATGAAAGCTGGAGAAAATCAGTACAGACATTCTTGATCAGACTATTAATGAGCAATAGCTGCATACAATATTAATCTCCTAAAATTACTCTGTTTCAAAATCTTAAGCACAACAAAGTTGGCTTGTTTCTGGCTTCCCTGGAGATTTCCTCAGTGTAAGCCATGCAGGATTTGGTTGGCTGATTTAGCACATAAATACTGTGTTTCAAACTACTTTCAATAGCACATGATTGTTTCATGTAAACTTCTCACAAAATAATAAATGTGAAGATTGTTTTTGCACAACCATAGAGTAAAGTGGATTTCTTTTCCACAGTTTTGTGGCACTACAAATGTTCATGTCTTAATGTGAAATGGTGTGTTTGATGTTATCTTTCATCATATGTGAATGTACATGGGCATGTAGAGTAAGTTGAATTGGACATAGCAACCATCACTTGAGAAACAAGAGTCAAGGAACAGGTTACAACTCTGTTTCATTAATACCACATTATATAAAGTTATTATATAAACTTCTTGAAAGGAGAAAAATCCATTGAGCAGGGGGCTGGATTAGAAGACCCCCAAAGTCCCTTCCAGCTTCTATTCTATTCTATTCTATTCTATTCTATTCTATTCTATTCTATTCTATTCTATTCTATTCTATTCTCATCAAATCTGGGCACTTTGGAGATGTAAAGCTAAAAGAATCTCTTTTTCATGGATGCTTTTCAAGATTTTGATTTTTTAGGGATATTAAACAAGTCACTTAACTTATTTTAAAAACTATTTTAGAGAATAGCAGGACAAAATGTACAAAAAGTCTGGGCCACAAACATTAAATGGCAACACAATTTTTGAATAACATCCTTGATTTCATATAAAATCAAAATTATTATGGTGTTGCAATATGCTATAGAATATTATATACTAGTACATAGCAAAGAAGTGAAACTGCAAATGGCCTCAAAGCTTATTGCATGGAAGATCAGCGTGAATTGTATATTGGAGAGAAATCCTCATCCCATTGTGACAGGTACATATAAAATAAAAGGAACTAGTAATATATTAATATATTCACAACCATTTTCTACTCTTGGATCTCAAACTTTTGTTTAATATAAAGGTTATGTAGAAGCTTCTTGGGAAGCCTAAAGGCAGAACATAAGCATATTAATTCTCACTGTTGCTTCTCACCAACTGAAATATTAGAAATATATTGTTTCTAATTTCAGAGACAACATATGACCACCAAGTAGCACTGATAACTCTATTCTGTTAATTATTATGACTAATCATCTACTTTAATAGCCATCACCTTAACTCATGGCAACAAATTCCATAATTAAACTATGTGAGTTAAGGATTTCCTTTTGTGTCTTCTGAATATTTTATCATTCTACTCATTAAGAATTTTTAATGGGAAAAGGGAAAAAATCTGCTTCCAAAACTATACGTTATTTTTCAAAACTCCAGCATTCATTTCCTTCATCTGAAGAACTGCTCACACACCTGGTTGATCTTTTCTAGAACTTTTCTAGCTCTGACTATGCTTTGTAAAATACAGCAAGCTGAATTTTTTAAACAATATTTTGTTTTTGACATATCATACTTTTTCTTTTATTGGTTGATACTCTAGTATTATGTTCTTTTCTTTTTGGTTTCTGATTGTAAATAAAATAAAAACAATGTTCAAAACATGGATATGACAGTTTTTTTCATTACAATAGCAACTAATGAAAATTTTGACCATTTACGCACGTGAAATTTTTACTGAAAAGGTAACAAGTTTTAAGTGTATCCAGATACCTTTCCCTCTTTTATATATGCTAAATATGTAAAGCAATCACCTTTCTTTGTCATGGTTATTAAGCAAATCAGTGCAGTTAAGTGAATCATGCTATCATTAAACGAATTCAGTTTTCTCTATTGACCTTCTTGTCGGAAGCAGGCTGGGAAGATCGCAAATGGCAATCAAGGATTCCAGGACTCTGCAACCATTGTACATACATGTCAATTGCCAAGCACCCAAATTTTGATCGCTTGACCATGAGGATGCTGCAACAGTCCTAAGTACAAAGATCAGTTGCAAGTCGTTTTTTTCAGTGCCCCTGTAATTTCAAACAGTTGTTAAGTCAAGGACTTTCTGTATTCTGAATAATCTCTCTTAAACTGATTACAAAACATTGCAAAGTCTATGTAACTTTTGAATTATATAGCTTGATGAATGCTTGTGAATTATTTCATCAACACGGGGATCAAGGAATTTTTATCAGGTAATCTTTGCCTATTTCAGTAACAAAGCGAATCCAAAAGTCTTATCTGCGCAGTTACTGAAGGAGGTAACTGTGTTTATGATGAACAGTTCATACAACATTGTCCACATAAACCAAATAAAAAAGATTAAGAAATAGGAATGCATTCATTCCAATAATTCTAAAGTCATTAGTATGTATGTGTGTGTGTATTAAAAATGTATTTCCTTAGAATACTGGAAGTACAAAATAACTTTGCAATGTTTCTTAACCCACTGGTTTTTTCTTTATGTAATAAGCTATAGACCAGACAACTCTTTTAGCAGGAATATTGGCAAAGTAATTAGTACATAAATTCATAATTTTTGATAGCCTCTAATTCAGGGGTGTCAAACTCAATTTCATTGAGGGCCGCATCAGCATTGCGGTTGCCCTCGGGGGGGCTGGGTAAGTGCGGCCAGGGTGGGTGTGGCCTCCTGGGTGGGCATGGCTGGAGTGGGTGTGGCCTACTGGGTGGGCAAGGCCAGCTCTACATCGTTCGCGTCAAGGGTGCCTGTGGGGCCTGGGCAGGAGTGGGACAGATCTGAGGGTCTCTGACAGAAGGAGGTGGGACCAGGGCAAGCACCAAGGCATGGTCCATTTCTTCATTCCTCACAAAGGGTGACACCTCCCTAGCATGCACCCGGGGATGGGGCCGACGCGGCAGGGGCTGGTTCCTCGCTGTTTCTAGATGGCCTTGTGGAGCTAAGACTGAATGCATTTCAGCATAGATGGCCGCCACAAAATTGTAAATTGGCTCCTGGCTGGCCTGGGCCAGTGCCAAGGCAGCGGGAGCCATTCCCTCACTGTTTCCAGGATGGCTTCACGGGCCACATGAAACCACTTTGCGGGCCGCATCCGGCCCCCAGGCCTTGTGTTTGACATGTCTGCTATAATTGTAGAAGATAGGTAATGTGGAAGTGGACAGAAGCAGATATGAGATTTTTGGTCTCTCATTGAAAAATGTGTACAAATATGAGGTTAACAGCTTTCTGACAAAATGATAAATGAAGAAAAAATAATAAACTCAATCATGAAATAGTCTAGTATAAATGCGCAAATAATTCTGGTTTTTATATATCTTTTAATTTATACTTGCTCCTGTCTACAATATGGAAACTGGAAATCTCATGAACAAATAAAGTAAAATTATCAAATGGTAAGTAATAGAAAGACAAAAGGTTATTGAATATCATTTACAGGAACTAGAAACATTTGTTTTCAACAATCTGCACCAGATTGTTCATTTCTAGGGCGAAGATAAGGAGGAAAAAAACAACACTGTAATCTTTTAGTCAATTCATAAAGATAAATGGTTAAGGTTCAGGAAGCTGGCAATATATAATGGAAGAAGGTATCTTTTCCATGCAACTTGGCAGCAAGAGAGCAGCCATCATAAATGAGTAATGTGCTGATTTCTTTTGGTACACTGGAAACAGTAAGCTCTCTGTGGAAAAGCTGGCAATCATGAAAGCACTCAAAATATACACAAACTGGCATCAAATATCTAGTTGGCTGTGTGGTGTATTCTAATGTGCTTCGTTAACAGATTTTCTCATTTATGATGTTAGTATGTTAAATTTCCAACGAACAGCATCTGTCACAGTAACATTTCTTCAGCTGCAACTGGAGGAGCTAACAGATTTTCAGGAGTAATTGAGAACAGAGGAAATACATTAGAGAAAGCAATCTCATAAAAGTTCTGCCAGTTCTGCCTTGCTTTTCTCTGCATTTTAGCCTTTTATATGTGAAGTTCCATTCTTCATTCTGAATTTAAATGAAAAAAAAAGCATAGGCTTCATAGAGCAGTTTATAGCTTTCAGCAAAATCCACTGGACACGAGGACTAGAATGCTTGACGCTGATGTTCTGTTTTGTTAAGGGTCAAAACACGAAGATTGTATTGTTGCAGTTATTTATAAAATACATACTGCTACCTTTTAGTTTGGATCCACCAGCAAACATTAGAAGTATTTTTTCACAATACTTGATACCCAAGGATTAGTCTTCTAGAAGAGGAGGAGGACTGAGATGAAGCTGAAAGGTCTCATTTTGGAAGATACTATTCAGGGCAGAATCCCCCTGGGAGAATTGGACAAAACCATGTTTTTCACCACCATGATCTCGAGACAATTCAGTCAAAAGTGCCAACTACAAAATAAAAGAAATATGGCTATTGTAAATGATAAGGTTATATAGGCAGTGCAGAAACAAATTATTTCAAAGAGGAAAGATCAACATTAAACTTTCATTAAAATCACAAACAATAACTTTTGCATTTTTCTTACCAATTATGTTAAAATATTCTTGGCTATATCACAATAAATATGCATGTAAATTACACATACGTAGGAAAACAGTCCTAGTAGAAGTCAGATGTGAATAATAGTTTTAGCTGGAAAAGACAAAAATAGCTTTGTGACTATATCCAGGATATAGATATATACTGCATTTACATTAGTTAATTGAGTATTATGGCATTTCAGGATGATTGTTATGAAAACAAAGAGTGTTT